GGTGGGGGGGGGGGGGGGGGGTAAGGAGATGGCGCGAACGGGGGAGAGAGGGTCGTCGATACGGGAAGAGAGCATCGAGAGGGAAGAAAAATAAAAAGTCGTGAATGTCGATTGGCGGAAAATAACGAATGGGGCAAACATTGTTTTTCATTACACAGGCCGATCAATAAAAGGGAAAAGGGAACGGTAGTGTAGTAGAGCGAAATAAGCCAAGTATACGATAGGATACGGTATATAGCGCATGCCGACAATTTACGACGTCTGCATGCTCCTATACGTATATCCACGCTCACAAATATATTTCATTGAAGAGAATTGGAGCCTCGCTCGACGAAATATGTCTTTCCCCATTCCACTATTTCTAATGATGATAAAAATTTGAGCCTCTCCAGCCTCGGAAATAGGGGTACTTGGCTGTGCATGAATGCGTGCGTGCGTGCATGCGTGCGTGTGCCTGCTTGCTCAGGAGAGCACGACGGCAGCATCCAGGGAATCCCCGAGCGAAAGTTATTTTTATCGGGCTTAAACGATACGGCAGTAACGCTCGTGAATGCGCCGTACTTCCAGGATACGGGAAAGTCGAGATTGGAGAGGATTCTCGAACAGCCAATAGAAAGCATCCTAAGTTGGGGTGGTCGCAAGCGACGAGGGTGCCCCCCTCCCATTCCCCTCCCACTGTATTTACATACGCGGGGTGACGGGGTTAGGGGGATGGGACGAAGGATGGGGGGATGGGAAAGAGATGGGGAAGAGACGGACGATGGTGGGGGGAATCGGATGAGCGGATGGATGGGTGGGTGGTTGGTTGGTTGGTTGAGTGGGCTAATGGTAGGGATGGATGAAGGGAGGTTGGGATGGGGGAGGAGGTGTAGGAGACGGAGGGTCAAGGGAATCGGGCGAAAGCGCGGGAAAGCCTTGAGAAATGAAAGGGCTCGACGAAGGGGGTTCAGGGCGCGGGTGGCGCGCCTTTCGCGCGAGTATCCGTTACTCACCACCGTGATTCTATCGGCAATGGTGCCCCAGGCGGGCGTGGTTGGCGAGTGGAGGGGATGTCCCGCTCGTAGCTGATCCGCGTCCACGATCGTCTGCTGCTGTTGGTGCTGTTGCTGCTGGAGCTGTTGATGCTGCTCCGGCGCGAGTACCAGGGGCTCCGCTTGATCCCAGTTGCCTCTCATCTTGGCACTTGCTGAAACACCAAGGGGGTAAGGTCGAATGTTATTTTTTTATCGTTCGTCCAGGGCGGCGCGATGGCTGCCCAGCGCAGCTTCTTTAAGCGCCGCTTGGCTAATGCTAAGTAACGAATACGACACATCTGCCTCTCGCTTTGCACGTTCATCCTTTGTTTCAACGTCGCCCCCAACGTTCGTTTGTAATTGGAGGGCAAGGGGCTGGGCTCGTTTGGTATCAGTGAGCCCAGCTTTAACATTCCTCGAAAAGACGCACGAGAATGCGAGGGCCATTGTAAAAAAAGAAAAATGAAAAATGAAAATGCCCTGGCCCGAAGAAAAGAAAGTATTTTCGACAAAAGGTAATTCATAAAAAGTTTGAAAGACGCGGCGGCGGATCGCAGGTGAAGCATCCCCGACGTCGGGATTTTCTTCTCTGGGTAGACGCGCCATGGAGACGCGCATGGAAATCGCGCTACAATGGGATCCGCCTCTGCTGACGCTACAAAAAAGAGACGCGCGCAAAAAAAAATGTCCTCCCTCGCCCGAATTCTCTATGCGTCCTTCGCCCCCCCCCCATCCTCGACAGCTTCTCTATATATTTATCTATCTATCTATCTATCTATCTATCTATCTATCTATCTATCTATCTATCTATCTATCTATCTATCCAATCTATCTATCTATCTATCTATCTATCTATCTATCTATCTATCTATCTATCTATCTATCTATCTATCTATATATATATATATATATATATATATATCTCACTCTCTGTCTTCATCTCTTATATCCTCCTACGCGTACAAGTATAGCCGTCGAGACAGAGAGACCGGAAAAAGGATCTCGCGTACATGGACCGAAGAAAGCGGTCGAATTGGCGCTGCGGCGACGAGTGGTAAAAAGGGGCGCCAAAAAGGGGGAATTTTTGTCGTTTTACCCTGCCATCGGCGGCATTATTCTTTTCCAGCGGTTTCCCGGAAAAAGGGTTTTTCGCATTTGTTGACAAGGGAGTAGAGCGAGTGGGATGAAGGAAGGAGGCGGTGAATGGCGAAGGAGGAGACGGCGGGGAGGGCTGCAAGAGAGAGCCGAGCGTTGTTTTCTTCGTCGGCCTGTCAGCCCGTATCTCCGTCTCGCTTATACACGCTCTTTTGCATATATTAACACGGGGGGTTCGAGGCCTTTAGTTGCTTTTCGAAAAACTACGGAAGCCAACGGAATCTTGATTTATTCAAGTGGAGCAACGACACGGGGCAGCTTGTTTTCTTCGATCTTAGAAACCGAGGAATAGAAAAAGAGAGCGCGAGAAAAAGGGAAAAAGAACGGCCCTAAGACAGGAAAAAGAGAATAAAGCGAAAATGGAAGAGTGAGACAGAGAGAAGGACAATGAGAATGAGCGATACTTAGTGCCTTAGGTCTCGATGTTTGTTAAATTATTTCTATTTGTTCGAAATATAGGCAAGAGTCTAAAGAATATTTCCGAACGTTATATAATATAAATCCGTAAAGTTTATTGTCTTTTTTTTTTGTTAGTTTGTTCTCAATGATTAAATTAACAGGTTAGTTAGTTGCTCAATTTTTTTGTTTAATTAAAATGAAAACATGCAATTAATGAGACGAAATAAAAATGCAATTATTAATTTTCGTAATTGATGAAACAATAAGCGTAAATAACTCGATACGAGAAACCAGCTGTTATATTGAATCGATTGGTTACTTAATTAAATATTAATAATCTCACGTAATCACTTATGACACAAGATTAGGTAAGTGATTTATTTATTAGAGGATAATTCAAGCCGGAATACAGAGTAATGTATTTTCATGTAAAAGCAAACGGATAACCGATGTAAAAGCATCTGCTTACTGAATCAGCCAAAGTAAGAGCGGCGAAAGACAGACAAACACAGACAAATGGTGGGGAGAGGTAGGGATGCAGAGAGTGAGCGAGTGAGCGAGTGAGAGAGAGAGAGAGAGAGAGAGTAGAGAAAGCCGAAGGATTAAAGATGGGAAAAATGGTAAAGGACCAGCAGAGCAAGTTGATGCGAAAACTTGCCGTTTTTGCCCTTTCGACATTTGCGAATTCCTTATTGTCGACGTATTCATAAAGGTGTGTTGCAAAGTCCCGCCGGCAGAGACCATAAATAAAATTTTCCACAACAGCCGACGCGAACGACGCCGGAGGCCGTAAGGGTTTTCCCAAAAACGCGCAACACACCCCAACTTCAAAATACCTACGAAGCGCATACGTGTACTCGACATGTACAATATAGGCACTCGCACCAGGGCGACTGAACACCCCCCCCCCCC